AGAAGGAGTTAAAGGAAATTTAGCATATCTTAGGTGCTCTCCGAGCCTATCATGTGTCCTCCTGCACGTCTCACCAATATAAATATTATTACAGATTTTACAGGTAATCTTATACACAACGTTCTTCACCTCACAATCTTTATTTTCAGTTATTAATAAAGGACAAATTTTACAGGAGTTAATAATACAGGTTCTCTTATCATACGGTCTGTTATTGCACACAATATTTCTTAGTTTTCTAGCTGGGGAAAATATAACTTTAATAGGTAAATTGTTCTGTTTAATATGATTCCTAATTCTGTTACTGATACTGTCTGAGATAAAATCTAACTTAAGCACTGTTCTGTTATCCTCCCTATTTCTATTACTAATACTACTACGACGTCTGTTGGCATAATTTCTGGGTGTTTGATACCCGTTTCTAGTCATGAGACGGTCTAAAATGCTGTATGAATGTTCTCTCTCCTGAGGTCCTGACGAGATCTTGTCCGCTTCTTTATACAGGTTGATCACGGTGTTCGTCTTCACAGATTCTGGGTGACATGAATTCTTGTGAAGTGTGATGTCTTTTTGCTGTGGCTTACGGTACAAGCGGCTCGTCACAGTTCCATCAGGTTCCACTCTAAGCTCTGTGTTAAGGAATGGGATGAACTCTTGGTCGTTCTCCGGAAACTCTACCTCCCACTTGAGTTTCTTGTCAGGGTCCTGGTCTGCGATACTCTGAACAAGTACTAGAGCTTCTTCTCTTGTTACAGCTGTGCTGGTGGCGTCGTCAATGTACCGTTTTGAATTTTTAACACTTGTTTTTAGATCATGAATACGATGTAGTTACATTGAAACGTCGAGTAATCTCCTTTCCCTAATAAGAGCATTTTTACTTGTCGCAACAACCGGGATAAAGATAAAGATAATTTTACCCAGAATACATTACAACAATGCGACTCATAAATAATACTCCAATCCGGATTTTACATGAACTTATTCAGTCCCGAGAAACTTTTGGAACGGCAAAATCATTTCTTGCAGCTGGAGAAAAGTTGAAAATCGTAGAACAGAAACTAAATTTCTTAAAACGATGTAAACGACGACAAGTTTTTCCAGTCTTCATTTTGAACAGTTTTTCACATCAACAGTCATTATTTCCCATCTGTCAATCTAGGAATATACAACATCATCTGAACAGAATCAGAACAGTAGCATTAAATCAACATATTTCTTATCAGTATCAGATTATCGCAGACAGTAAACTTCATATTGCACAGTTCAAGAACACTCTATACAATACAGTTGAACAACACGTTTTTCATAGAATTATAGCCATATCAGAAAGAAACCAGATTTCTATTAAAGAACAGTATAAGATGAACCTGCAGAACAAGTTTACTTGGCTACTCAGTAAATATTATCCACCACCGCCCCCTACTCCACCGACAGTTATTCAACCTGCAGCAGATCGCGTGACTACACTCAACTGTGATTCAGTTTCAGATAACCAGAAATCTGTTCTTGCACTTGGGCCTAATTTTGCAGTAACACCACATGTTAATCAGGAGTTCAAGGATAAAGTTTCCATGGACATTGCACAATGCGTGTTTAAGATCAGACATAAGCAAGCATTTGAACAACAACCAGTAGAACAGTCTATGGATTCAGAAGAACAGCCTACTAATACTCCAGAACATCATGAAGAAGCAGAAGAAGCAGAAGAGCCTACCTCGAAGAAGATCAAGAGGATTTGTCCCTTCCCCACACCCTTCACCCGAACCCCTGACCCCGCTTGCCCTGAACTTGAGGATAAACTCGCATGTTTCAACCGTTTTGTCCTGAACTTAGTGAATAACCATCAGTCAAAAGACAACCTTACTCGCTCACAGAAACAAGGCTTATATTCACTAAGAACGGATAGAACTATACATGTCTCAGTTTCAGACAAGTGTGGAGAGTTCGTAGTTACCACCAAGGATATTCATAGAACGCTGACGGAGAAACACCTAGAGGAAACTGCAGTTTACCTGCAGATACTCCCAACTAGGAAGGTACGAGGTCAGACAGTGACAGTTACGGAACCCACCTCCATCCAGAATTCACAACTCATAAAAAGAATGACCACTCAACTGGTAGATAGCTCCAATCAATTGTGGAAGAAAGTATGGACACAGCGAGGGCTCGATGATGATTATTTCAGACAGATCAGAGTTCCGGATCATGTTTCTCTTCCAGTCTTATATGTACTTATCAAGACTCACAAGAATTCTCCAGAATGTTTCAGAAACACCATCCCTCTGGAACAGGTGAAAGTACGACCCATTATCAGCTGTGTTGACTCACCCACAGAGAGATTGAGCTGGCTGGTGACAACCATCCTCAAACCATTACTGAAGGAAATACCCAGTCACCTTGGTAATCTCTTTGAACATCTTGAAACTCTTCGTGCAATTCCGAAAGAACAGCTAGCTGGCAGGAAAATCTTCTCGGCGGACATTTCAGCACTTTATACCAACATAAATGTACAAGGTTGTATTGATGACGTTATAGAACTGGCCACTGAGCACCGGGAAAAACTTTATCTCATGGGACTGAACCTGACTGATGTTCACGAGATCCTATTGCACATCCTGACTAGTTCATACTTTGTGTATAATGGGACTCTGTGGATACAGCAGGATGGCCTTTTCATGGGATTGAGACCGGGACCATTTTGCACAGTGATCAGAGTGTACAAGTTTGAGAGAAGCTCGGTTTACACTGACTTACATTACTTGTCGGTCTACTTATCTGACTTCTACAAGCGGTACATTGACGACGCCACCAGCACAGCTGTAACAAGAGAAGAAGCTCTAGCACTTGTTCAGAGTATCGCAGACCAGGACCCTGACAAGAAACTCAAGTGGGAGGTAGAGTTTCCGGAGAACGACCAAGAGTTCATCCCATTCCTTAACACAGAGCTTAGAGTGGAACCTGATGGAACTGTGACGAGCCGCTTGTACCGTAAGCCACAGCAAAAAGACATCACACTTCACAAGAATTCATGTCACCCAGAATCTGTGAAGACGAACACCGTGATCAACCTGTATAAAGAAGCGGACAAGATCTCGTCAGGACCTCAGGAGAGAGAACATTCATACAGCATTTTAGACCGTCTCATGACTAGAAACGGGTATCAAACACCCAGAAATTATGCCAACAGACGTCGTAGTAGTATTAGTAATAGAAATAGGGAGGATAACAGAACAGTGCTTAAGTTAGATTTTATCTCAGACAGTATCAGTAACAGAATTAGGAATCATATTAAACAGAACAATTTACCTATTAAAGTTATATTTTCCCCAGCTAGAAAACTAAGAAATATTGTGTGCAATAACAGACCGTATGATAAGAGAACCTGTATTATTAACTCCTGTAAAATTTGTCCTTTATTAATAACTGAAAATAAAGATTGTGAGGTGAAGAACGTTGTGTATAAGATTACCTGTAAAATCTGTAATAATATTTATATTGGTGAGACGTGCAGGAGGGCACATGATAGGCTCGGAGAGCACCTAAGATATGCTAAATTTCCTTTAACTCCTTCTAACACAAGTCAAGCTTTTGCTATTCATTATAACACTTTACATAGGGGGTCAGAACCCAATTTAGAATTTGAGATTTTAAAAACAGAAAGCAACACAGCTAGAAGAAAGATTGCAGAAGCAATGCTTATTTTGAAGTTCAAACCTAAAATTAACAAGAGAGATGAGTTAGAAACCATCAAACGTTTTTTAGTAACAAGTACATAATAAACAGGGTGTAACATATTTTATACTTTACAAACAGGGGATTGTCTACACATATGTAGTGATATTTAGTGATATTTATAGGTTTTGTGTACTTTCTGAGTACAGGGACCACATCTCACACACGCACACTTCCGCCTCCTATTCAACACACTAACCCTTATAACATCAATCAAACCATATTAGGCTCCCACGTTTCACACTTCTCATTGGTCAGTACGATTCCCGCCATTTTCACTCCACACTAGATACATACCTACACACTTCACATCATGCACCTGTTTACCGTTGTAGCACTCCATGCTTCTGTATCATGTGTAGTATATTTAGTAGTAGTTTTAGGAATGTACAGTATTTACTATAAAAGTTTGTCGTCGTATAAACTAATTTTGTTATGAATTTTGTTATGACTTTTTTGTATCGAATTTTTGGATAAAGTTGATTGATTAAAAATAAATTAATGTACACAAATTTTGCCTCAGATATATGTTTTTTACGTTTTGAATTTTTAACACTTGTTTTTAGATCATGAATACGATGTAGTTACATTGAAACGTCGAGTAATCTCCTTTCCCTAATAAGAGCATTTTTACTTGTCGCAACAACCGGGATAAAGATAATTTTACCCAGAATACACCAATTCTAAACTACTTACTATCATAGCCGGATATTCGATCAATTTCTAAATTTTATCACTATCAGATTGAAATTGAGTGGAATTTGAATTAAAATATTGTCAAATTGTTATTATTCTAGAGGGTAAAAAAGAAAATTTTGATTACGTTATCAACGGCCGAATTCCCTCCCCCCTCCCGTAATCAACCGTAAGCATTTGGAAACCCCCATCCCTCTCGGCTGATTACGTAATATGTGAACGACCCCTAAGGAGTCATATGACCCAAAAAGGAATTATATTGAGACTGCGCTCCCACTAAATCGCTCGCCCCAATCTTTAAAAAATTCTTGTGTTAACCGTGCGTTAAGTGTCTGTTCCTTAAATTAACCGACCATAATATTAACCAGCCAATTCGGTTATCTGTCGATGTTCACACAATCCACGATTAACCGTTGTACTGCCATTAATGTTATTGGTGGCCGGTGTGCGCGAAAAGGGAATACAATACCACAAAGATATTCAATTTATCACTTTAAATCAGTGTGGCCATAAGAATAAGATTTAGAAGCACACTTCACACAAGATTAAGAGGCACACTTCACGCGACTTACCCGCTACAAGAAGCACACAGTCACTGAGAGCCGGAACATTAAATTGCTCCCCGAGAGTCTTCCAGAGCCACGCCCGCCAATCTGTAGACATAACACTCCAGTTTCTAGAATATTCTCACTCACACAGCACACCAGACCTCACTTTACTTTCATTTCCTATAAATTTTGTGAGCGTTAAACTTGTTTTAACACTATCATGGCCAGTAATTTCTTAAGACTTTTAACATAAATGCCACGACAAGTATAGCCGTGATTTATCAAGCTGGGCAAATTTGGAAAAGTGTGAATTATAACCCCGAAGGTAGTACTGGTAGTGAGAATACGTCGACATCGCAGAATTTAAATATTACTACCCCGATAGTTACTCGGGTTACATCCGACATTGGGGTACAGGTAATGGAAGTATCAACAATGCCACTATATCTTTGTTTGTCCAAACAATGGTTATAGTAAAAGAGAGCTGTTATTTTTATCTTCTGACGTCAGGACAATTCTATAGACTTAGTATTTGGGACTTAGTTTCTAAGAGAGACAATTTTTGCAACAATATCATTCTAATATTTTCGCCATCTTCAAGCCATTCGATTCCGAAGCGGACATAATGCTTATATGTGTAGGAGAGCATGTTTATTGTTTAGCCTCAAAAATGAAATTTAAGCGAAACTGCCCATTTTCTCTCACAAAAATGACAACTCAAGTAAAAACTAATGATTACGAATCCTAAAAATTCGACATACAACTTCGCAACGGAACATAGCTACTACATATTGAAATAATAAACACACTTGCAAGAAGCTTATAATTCAACCCCATGCATTCGGCGGTAGATCTGTGTTGATGGTATATCACTACCACATAAGGTAACATCACCATGGTTACACTACCATATAAGGTACTTTTACAATAATCGGGTTACAGGTGTTGACATGTTATCTCGGAAAATAGTTCAACCATCAGTATATATTCGGTACACTTCTGTACACATTATAATATATCATTTGAGCTTTTTATAAAGATACAAAACAATTTTTCCGGCTTATATCAGAGACTTTGGAGGGTCACACGTGATGCCCATATAAGGTAATATTCTGTGTCGTTTTGTTTACAATTCAGAGGGTCTCTCGTATCCCTGACACTGTGCACAAGCTCAATCAATATCAAAAAGACAGGCCGCTGCTTAATAAACTGTCCTCATATAATTGCAGTTATGGCAACAAATTGTTGCATTTATAAAGATTTTAACACCGTAGACTAAATTTAAGTCACATTATTCTTAATTACATTTGATACCTTATCAGCCCTAAGGTTGAATTTCCGGCGACCGTCAGTTCGAATGATCCAAAACTGCGTAAGTGTTGTTGTTTAATTCAAAGCAACATCAAAAAGCTGAATATTTTGACCAGCTCATAGGAGGCTTTGATTGAAATCATTTTGGCAGTCCGATTATCAAACGGTCGACAAAATTTAAAATATCTAATTTTAGGGCAGATAAGGGGTATTCATATGAAACCCCTATGAAAACAATTACGGAACTAACGGATCTATTATACATAACTTTTGCAGCTACTCATCATTTCATAATTTTTTACATAGAACTAAATTCTAATATCGCATAATATATAAATGGTCTGTGTAATATAAATCACTTTGTAGAAATTGTAATAATATTAATAAGTTAAAATATGTAGCTTTTAAGTCCATTTAGTATGTACATTGTATCTAGATCATGCACACGGTGACTTGCAAGAGAGTTCACAGAAAAAATGAGGGAAAAACCGTAAAAAGTGGAATCGTACAGTAAGTACCCCGTTCTAATCATCATATCATCATATCATTCTTTTGAAACTTGCAAAACTCAAAACTCAGCTTTATCGAAACAAAATAAATTAATTTTCACATTTGAAGTTCATCATCCTTCGAAAATTAAAGTTTTTATTATTACTATACCATTAAAATATATATAAATTCTACACTATAAGCTAAGAAATCGTCCGGGACAGAGACTCTATCTAGCTCTAATATCTTTGTCTGAAATTATATGGCTTTGGTTAACAAGTAACGACATGTTGTGTACTGTGCGGGGCAAAATAGCAGTCAAAACTATGTGGGACTATGTTTAGTGTAGTCGAGTCACTGCCCTAATAATAATTTCTATCAGGTCTAGGTACGTGATTTGTCCTATCACAGAAAAATCCTAATTTTAGCGAGACTTCCATTTTGACACAGTCAATGGATTGGCAAGAAATGTTTGGTGGCCACGAGTTGAATCCAGTCAAACATTCCGACTCTAGGAATTAGTAAGAGATGATCAACTGACTATTGCTTTGGACAATTTAAGAGTGTAAAAATGAATAATATGCAGTGTAGATCTTTAATTATGAAAGAAGTTGAAGTGTCTAGTCGTGCATTACGAAAATATACTCGCGTGCTTTGCGCGAAGCACACTACAAATTTAAGCAAAATGAAAGAGTTACTTTCGCGCGCAAACCTACTGAGCGAGTGCCGAAAAACTGGATCATGCCAGACAAGGGATGAGCTCATTTCAAAACTCATGACCCATATTGAAGTTAATCACGTGATAAAAGTTTAAAGAAATCAGATATGATACTCACTTGAATTCTGTACTTTCCTCCATTCTGAAATGAGACAGTTTAGTATGTGCCCACTGCCCATGGTTGTTTAAACTTGCCATCAGATAATATTCTACTTAAGAATTTGTCATTTCAGCGTCAATTGCAGCTTAACAAATTATCGTAAAAATCTATGTTCGATACAAATTTTCTCGGGGGGATTCTTGATTAAATCCTTATCTAATATGAGACAAAATATTCACCTCTGGAAAAGTAGTTAATAAGTTTCTGATGGCTATCTGACATTGTATCCGATTGATGGTTGTATATTGAGTAAGGACGTAGGGTCGTCGGCGACTGGTTCTGATAGTTTGATCTCTCACTCTTGCTTGACTCGAAGACTGACTGCAAATCGCCCGCCTGGCTAATAGATATGACATTAGCAAGTTGGTTGTCGCTGCTAGAAATACTGCTCTCGTTCAAGAACTCCAGTTGCGTGTGTTTGCACTGGGAGGGCGGACATTTGTCCCAGGCGATGTCAGGACACGAGGTCGAGTGGGTGGATATGGAGGAATTGGACATGGGGGGAGATAGGTCCGTTTCCGAGGAGCACTCCGACAGAATAAGGGGCTGAGGTTTGCGGAGCATGTCGGCGTATGAAGCTGATGTGATACTAGGTGTCTCTAAAACAGGAGGTGGTGGCGGCGGCAGGATCACTTTGTCGGTGGGCGATGTAGCCGCCGCGGAGCCCTTCTTCCTCTTGCGGTGAGATTTCTTCTTCATCTGTTTGCCTGTGTGGCTGTTGTTAAGAAGAGGTGCGCTGACTTGCATTGCGCTTACATGCGCTGCGGTAATGTGCGCCACGGCGGGCTCTGACACTGGGACAGGGTCCGCCGTGAGATCAGTGACCGTAGAGACGTAGCTGCTGTCACTGCTAGAAGAAAGATTGTCGGACAGAAGAGCTGGCATCTTGCCAAACAGGGTCGTTAGAACTGATCTAAACTTGTTCTCAGGATACTCCGACAGGGCGACCGCTTTCTCCTTAACGTCCTTCACCTAACGAAAAGTATGTTGTTACAGTAACAATCTTGGGATAAAAATGTTTTGTATCCGAGTTACAGTGACATTCTTACAACGCTACTAGGGGTACAGAAGCATCGGAAGCGATGCGATGCAAATATTATAAACTGATGATTAAGGAGGACCATGGTATTTAAATACAGCGGGCACAGCGCGGGGCGTTTTACAAGTTCCTACCTATTGGCATTGGGCAGTTACACAAGGAACACGGACACACACAAATTCCAATTTCTACGTACCATCACAGCATTACTCGGTGTAAATTTAAAAGCTAAGGGATAGCGGCAGTATACTTACTACTCCTAATAATCCAACATAGAACCTAACACGTATTATAGTCCTGCAAACATTCCTTTCTAGCACGTAGCGAGAGAGAGAGAGAGAGAGAGAGAGAGAGAGAGAGAGAGAGAGAGAGAGAGAGAGAGAGAGAGAGAGAGAGAGAGAGAGAGAGAGAGAGAGAGAGAGAGAGAGAGAGAGAGAGAGAGAGAGAGAGAGAGAGAAACAGTATAAAATTTACCTGATCTGCACACATTCCCGGCCTAGTTTAAACCTCTTCCAAATAACACGGGGTCCCACCACATAACAGGAAAAAAAGTTACAGGAAGGAAAAGCCAAATCATAGGGCCGGGCCGGCTGATGTAATCAAAAACAAATATTTGATATGATAAGTCATGCTCCTAGCGGTATGGACGAAATTTTGGTGGATAAACGGGAAAAGACCTAAGAGTGCGGGAATTCGGGTGGAGCCGAATAGTTGGCATGCATGACAAGGTAGTGCAATGCTATTTAATGATTAGCTTTAAGGAGCTCAGATATTAGATGACGGTTTTAAGAATATAATTATTGCTTAGTAAAATAGTTGAACTGTTAGCAAGCGTTCTCGATAGTGCCCCACCTCAATAATTTTTTAAGTGGTTAACAAAAGCTGAGAACATAAGATAATTTTAAACCGCAAAACAATGAAAAAACAAAAGAAGTGAACCTAACAAAAGCAAGCCAACTGCACAATGTGTAAACAAATGCTGAAACCTACACTCGGCCACAAGGTCATTACAGCTTTATCATTGGGTAATTTAACCTATTAATCATTAGATTAGTGAGTAATTATAATGGGTATCACACGAAAATCTAGCACCTTCAGTTATAAGTTCTGCAACTTCTGTAGGTGGCTAAATGGAGTAGCGGCAAACATACAAGTGGCAGGGAGAATAACTTTGCGGAGAATAGAGCCTATAAATAGTAATAGTTCTATTTACCCAGAGCTTAGGTGTCAATCCGAAACACTCTGATCTGATATTACTAAAAAGTAAAATAATCAAACGACAGATATTAATTACTTGGTAACAGTTCTGCTAAAGATGGAAATAATAATTTTGATTCGAGGAATTAAGAAATATTCACATAACTTGATATTTCACTAACTCTTCAGCTCCTCTGCATAATTTTAGAAGCAGTAGTAATAGAACAGGACTTTGTATCAAAACGAAAAACAAATGGAAACCGCCGCGCAGTTACGGAACAGGGCGGGGTCAGAAAATGTAGGTAAAACACGAGAGTACACAGATCAGTTATATAAATATAACTGTGATCCAGGGTGAATGCGGTAATCAAATTATATAATTACTCTACAGTCTGGACTCTCTCTCTCTCTCTCTCTCTCTCTCTCTCTCTCTCTCTCTCTCTCTCTCTCTCTCTCTCTCTCTCTCTCTCTCTCTCTCTCTCTCTCTCTCTCTCTCTCTCTCTCTCTCTCTCTCTCTCTCTCTCTCTCTCTCTCTCTCTCTCTCTCTCTCTCTCTCTCTCTCTCTCTCTCTCCCACCCTCCCTCCCTCCTTCCCTCCTTCCCTCCTTCCTCCCCCCTCCCCCCTCCCTCCCCCCTTCCCCCTCCCCCCTCCCTCCCTCCCTCCCTTTCACTTACCCACAGTCCACACCAACATATACAGAGAGCAGCAAGAGGGGTAGGAAGTAGAAAGTTTATGTGTGTGCCGATCCTTATATGCATATGGGCATCACGTAGGTACTATAACGCTCCTGCCTCAACGTGGCCGGAACTCCAACTTTACAATTACAGAGCTACAAGGTGGAGTTTATCGCAAAGGTTCGCAGACAAAAATTGAGTTGTTTTCGGCTGAGGAAATTCTGTGTTTGTAATCTAAAACGGTCTTGAAAATGCGATCTGAGGAGAAAGAAAAGGAGAAAATAAAAAAGGGAAGGAATGAGCGAGAAAATAGTATGTTTACAGAGTAAAACACAGAGGTTGCAGTCGGGAAACAAGAAACTAAGTGATATGTAGCTGGTACAGTGCACATGTGAAGATGTGCGGTATGTACCCGAATAACGGTATGTGCGGTATGTACCGTATAACAGATGGAACTAACACTTCCCTTCTGACTCTACTAGGAGCTCTAATGTCGTGTCACGTGTGAGGATAATGCAGGTAACGTAATGTACTGCTGATAAGAAATGCTTTATTACTTCTAATACTGCTACATATATATAAGTAACCTCTAGTAACCACTTCTAGCCATAGTAACTTCAGGACTAGGAGGTAACCTCTAGTAACTACAAGTTGCTCCAACAACACGTGTGGTGCAATGCAGTAGGTCATGTAATGGGCTGCTGATAACTGATAAGATATGCTTTAGATATAATAAGAATTCCAGGCTACATTCCTGGTGGCGTGCACGCACGTATTAGAACGATAAGATGTTGGCAGACGTCAAAGTTTCTTTTTCCTGGGTGGAACACGGTAATCTAATTAGGATATCTGACAAAAGTATTGAGTTTCATAATGTATTACTCTAGCAAAATCTAGAATAATAGAGCACTCTAGTATAGTATAACAGCTTGATCTAGTGCTGAAACCTCTGTTAACGACTAGAGTTTATTAATTTCAACATTTCTTTTGCAGTTTTGTTCCTAGCTTCGAACTTAAGATTCAAGAGTACACTGAATAAACGCCGTTTAGAAAGGACAGTAAATTTCTCCTTTAAATGCCAGTAGAATAAGGAACTTAAAAATTAAATAGACGGTAGAAAGTAGAAACTTAAAATATAAGCTGTAACATCCAGTAATCCATTGAGTGAAATGTAAGCTGTAATCGCTGTGTACGAGTTTATTAAAATATCAATAGGCATTGAAATTCCATCAAGACCGATTCTGTTGTAAAAGAAAGGAATTAGCGACCGAAACTATGCAATTAATGCAGTGTAACAAATACAATCGCAACTTATTCACAGCTCTTAGAAATAGCAGTTGCAAATAAATTAAAACCATTGCTTCCGACTTTTGTGTGGACTGTCCACATTACACACGGTAGGTCTTCTTTTTATAGTAGGCGAGAAAGTGTGAACGAAGGCAGAAGCGCGTTCTAATTTCTAGAAAGATCCATCACGCACTTCTTATTGCTCTAATTTATGCATTATACTGAGCCGCCGCTCCTTATATAAGGTCATCACGTGATGCTGTTACATTTATTAAACCTCACAAGGATTATTTAGTGATATATTTAGGCGAGGGAGCTGTAAAAACGCTTACTTAGAAAGCAAAAGAAAATATCTTTTGATTACTGAAGTATGCTAAAAATAAGAAAATTCTCGAGAGGAAGGGAGCTGGAGGGGATTAGGACAATACAGTATAGAGCGCTGACAGTTACACACTAGAGAGTAGCGAAGGTAATAAAATCAATAAAATTAACGACAAGATTTACAATAGTTACAGATCTGATGAGCGAACCTAGCGATAAAGCAAAAGTATTGAGCCGACACTCCTTATATGGACATCACGTGAGTCACCGCTCCTTATATGGATATCACGTGAGTCACCGCTCCTTATATGGACATCACGTGAGCCACCGCTCCTTATAAATGGACATCACGTGAGCCACTGCTCCTTATATGGATATCACGTGAGAGAGAGTAGACAATTGTTAAATCCTAATATTATGGCCAAATCAGCTCAGTTGAGGTCTGCAAGAAATAACGTTCCATCGTGTTATTGGTACTGTGGTGTCAAGACTCGAGACAATAAATAAAAATTAGATTAATTTCTCCGGAATATTTCTGCAAAATTAATAATTATGCGATAAATGTCCCATCAACTGCTATTGCATGTTACTTACATACATATGACGTGTCCAATTTCCATAAATTAAATATATCAATATCCATAAATTAAATATATCAAGTAAGAAAGTGCATATTATAATTATTAAAAGTAAACACTAAACAGTATATTGTAGTATACTACAGTATACAGTAAGTACCAGTAAACGACCGGGGGTAGGATTTTGCCGGGGCCGGGGCCGGGGCCGGGAATGTCCAAATTTTGCCGGGGCCGGGAATTGGCCGTTCTGGAATTTGGCCGGGGCTGGGGCCGTGAATTTAATAAATCCACGGCCAAGTTAGAACTTTTCAACTTTTGTTTAAGATTTAAGGATTTAGGTGGAATACCGTAATTGTAAAAACTATCAGAGGTTACAAAAACAAAGGACTGCTCTTGAAAGTTGGCACTCTGAACATCATCCTTTCAAAATTGAAAATCCATTTTAAGATTTATATGAAAGTTTTAGGCCGATTTCGATCAAAAATTCCCGGCCAAATTCCCGGCAAAAATTGAAAATCGGCCGGGGCCGGGAAGAAATAGCTCCCCCGGTGCCGGGATTTCACGGCGCCGGGAATCCCGGTCGATTACTGGTAAGTACACAAAACTGTCCATATTTTAAAGATAAATAAATTCTACCATTTATAACACCCTTCGACATTAATCACATTTCTTGGAATTATACAAATTTAAATATACATAATATATATTATATTTAAGCCATCCAAGCGTGACTAGATGTAGAAAAACTAAAGAATATAAAACACTAGAACAGTTATTGATTTCAGAGCGAAAATTTATTCCTATCAGAAAAGAAGTGTCTTCCAGTCTTCAGTAACCAACTTATCTGCCGTGTAAACAGGCTGGTCCCAGAATCAATGATAATAAGATGGAGGTCATGGTCGAACACCAAGAAGCCACTATATTACTGTTGAAGACACAAGAGTGCAGCAAGTCAGTGATTTTGCGTACGTGACTACAACTATATTCAGAAACGGTACAATGTGAGCTGTCTGCACGAATGCAGCAAGTTTCAGGAGCAAGTTTCAGGAGCAAGTTTCAGGAGCAAGTCTCAGGAGCAAGTTTCAGGAGCAAGTTTCAAGAGCAAGTCTCAGGAGCATTCAATCAGCTGAATAATTTGTGGAAGAGCCACAATATCCATGAAATATAAGGCTGCAGTGAAAATACACCTCTTCAGATAAAACATTCGGAATACTACGAAAAGAAACAGTTACCATGCTTGTTTTGAGGTGTTCTATTAGCATGGTTACCGGTCCTGAAATGTCTTACAATAAACCATATTATAAACTATAGAGGATCTACATGAGGCCCTCAGTGTGTAGTCCTTAACCATTGTTTAGATTTAATTTTAAGCAAGCAAAATCTCCAAATCATCACACACGAGCCACGATTTATCCAACCTATTGACTAGACTACTGCACTGAGAATAAAATTTGAGGCAGAGTTCACAGGAAGACGTAACTAATTGCCATGAGGACAGACAATATTAATATGCACCGCAACACAGCGGAGCAGGTTTAGTAGTGTCGCTGCTCCCCACTAATAGTAGCAGTGACGCTCCATTCCCCGCTCTAAACTCAATTAAGAAACATATTGACAGACTATGTGCATTTATATTACGTTAACGGTACGGCTCTGTGACGGCTATTGAAGTGCCGTTATGAGTGCTCCAAATTACACGTCATACCACCGGCTCCAATGTAACCATACTAGGCTGATACATTTATTAGTAACCATTAGTAACCATTTGCATTAGTAACCATTTGCATTAGTAACCATTAGTAACCATTAGTAACCATTAGTAACCACTAATAACTACAATCAGTGCGTCAAATCGCTGACTCCACTGTACTAGGCTGTGTAGTTACTGCTGCTGGATTGGAATCTGTATTAAAAGGCCCTGTAACACTGTGACGGAGAGAAAATTTTAAAAGGTTTTTAGATCAAAAAGCTATCTGGTTACATATCGTGAAACATCTTTTTTTGTGTGACTACGGAACTCCCCCAGGTTAGAGTATTTCCTTTGTCATAGACGAAATGTTGAAATAAATCTTTATATAGCGTATGTTTTATAGTGATTGGAGAGTGGAGACTCATTTTTCCCCCAGCAATCAACCCACTGTGACCGTGGTACTAGCTCAAAGTAAGTAAGATAGTCGGCACTAATACCTGGTTACTGTTACCTGGTACTTGGTTACTGTTACTGTTACCTGGTTACCCACTGTGACCGTGGTACTAGCTCAAAGTAAGTAAGATAGTCGGCACTAATACCTGGTTACTGTTACTTGGTTACCCACTGTGAGTCGTGGTACTAGCTCAAAGTAAGTAAGATAGTCGGCACTGATACCTGGTTACTGTTACCTGGTACTTGGTTACTGTTACTGTTACCTGGTTACCCACTGTACTAATGTACTAAGTGTGTGGTCTGATGAGTCCAGGTTAATAAGATGAGGGAGTGAAGTTGACAGTGCGCACATTAGAAGTTAGAACATAATATGACATAAAATATGTGGGAGGTATGTGTGAAGATGGAGAGTGTACTGGGTAACTGGGTAACAGTAACAGTAACCAAGTAACAGTAACCAAGTAACAGTAACCAAGTAACAGTAACCAAGTAACAGTAACCAAGTAACAGTAACCAAGTAACAGTAACCAAGTAACAGTAACCAAGTAACAGTAACCAAGTAACAGTAACCAAGTAACAGTAACCAAGTAACAGTAACCAAGTAACAGTAACCAAGTAACAGTAACCAAGTAACAGTAACCAAGTAACAGGAACCAAGTAACAGTAACCAAGTAACAGTAACCAGGTAACAGTAACCAGGTAACAGTAACCAAGTAACAGTAACCAAGTAACAGTAACCAAGTAACAGTAACCAAGTAACAGTAACCAAGTAACAGTAACCAAGTAACAGTAACCAAGTAACAGTAACCAAGTAACAGTAACCAAGTAGCAGTAACCAAGTAACAGTAACCAAGTAACAGTAACCAGGTGACAATAACCAGGTGACAGTAACCAGGTATGTGTGAAGATGGAGAGAGGGTACTGGGCAACCAGGTGACAGTAACCAGGTAACAGTAACCAGGTATGTGTGAAGATGGAGAGAGGGTACTGGGTAACCAGGTGACAGTAATCAGGTATGTGTGAAGATGGAGAGAGGGTACTGGGTAACCAAGTAACAGTAACCAGGTGACAATAACCAGGTGACAGTAACCAGGTATGTGTGAAGATGGAGAGAGGGTACTGGGTAACCAGGTGACAGTAACCAGGTATGTGTGAAGATGGAGAGAGGGTACTGGGTATGATGGATCAGCACTGTAAGTGTAAGGTATTGCTGGGTATTGTTCTGCAATTTGTCATGATGTGTGCAGAAGCGTAAAGTTCACACGATGTATATAAATTGGTAGAGAGTTATATAATAATATAAATGTGTTTATGTGTTATATTATGTGTTTATGGGTGTCTAGTCGTCGGCCAAATTGAAGGAAGTTTAGAGCAAATTGTTGGAGTGTGTATTGTGTAAGCGTTTATGGCGATGCCGGGATGTGGTAGTTATTAGATGCAATGTCCGTTTTTAGAGGTAAATTCACATTCACAATTTTATGCACACTCTGTATAGTAATTAGTTTGACAAAACGCGTTTTCCGATATCCATATGATTTAATATTATGCAATGATATATTAATAAATTATTGATTATCATATGATCGTAAATTATATTATAGATTATAATAGCATAATAATGATAGCGCTCCACAAGTTCAGGTGTATAATTTGAAAATATAATTTGAAAATAGCTTAGAGGAAGTCAGCCAAAGGGATGACATCAAATAAAATATCCAGTCGGTTATTATTCAAGAATTGATTAAAACAATTGGCAGTTTATTAATAGAAAATTTATTTCGTTAGGCATTAGGCAATATCCCAGCGGTTATTAACAAAAAACTATAAGTTGAAGCTACACAACTGTGTGGACTATAATTATCATAATATTTTAATATCTGGTAGTTTTTAGTTAACATTCTATCAAGCTACTTATATAGTCTTATTGCCACAATACTCAGCGCCATTTCACTGCATTCTTATAATATGCGAGCATGAGGGTTCCTTTAAAAAGTATCTCGATAAAAGCAACACTGTACAAGTGGGGTAACGTAATCTAGTCGAACAAAAGTAGAGCCAGAAAGGGTTGAAAAGGGCGCTATTTCAGGAAACGCTAGAATCACTTAAACTCTCTGAAAGGAAGTCTTCAGTCACGTGTAAGCGTTGCTTTGTTCAAAATATCCCGCAGAGGCAAAGTAATTGGAATTTCCATATGACTGTGACAGGGGTAGCGTAATCTAGCTGTCTGGCGACTGCAAAAAAATAGCTCAAGAATGGAGGGCAGGGAACGCTATTTCAGGAAACTATTCTGGGAATCCCTTCAGGACACAATATGTTTCGGGGAACATGTGGCCACTAATACCTTTTGAAAGGAAGCTTTAAATCATTAAAGTAGCTAGTGTAGGCAACGCTATCGGAATTGGCCATACTTACTTAGCCACAGAAGACGATGCAGCATAACCATCTTTAATCAATCTAGACTAACTTTACTATTCACGGCTCAGAGCTAGAGGAAGATAAAATCATAGCTAGCACACAGAATATTCGTGCCTAAAAAAACTCAACAACATTGTTAACATAGTCGGATGTTTCGCGTGTTAATGTTAGGGAGCAATGTTTACTTTTCCGAGTTAATAACATTAACCTTGTGTCTTGTAATGGTACAGTACCCCCCCCCCCCCCCCCCCCCCCTACAGTGCATATACAAGAGAGGACCGTACATTATGGCATTTGGTATGGTACCATAAAGTATGGTACCGGGCAGTTGCAGTCGGGTACCGTAAGGTTTGGAACCGTTAAGTGTGATACCGTAAACTATGGTACCGTAAAGTATGGTACCGTAAAGTATAATACCGTAAAGTATGGTACCGTAAAGTATGGTACCGTAAAGTATGGCACCGTAAAGTATGGCACCGGACAGTTGCAGTATGGTACCGTAAGGTTTGGAACCGTTAAGTGTGATACCGTAAAGTATAATATCGTAAAGTATGGTACCGTAAAGTATGGTACCGTAAAGTATGGCACCGTAAAGTATGGCACCGGACAGTTGCAGTAGGGTACCGTAAGGTTTGGAACCGTTAAGTGTGATACCGTAAAGTATAATACCGTAAAGTATGGTACCGTAAAGTATGGTACCGTAAAGTATACGTATGGTACCGTAAAGTATGGTACCGTAAAGTAAGGCTCCATGTAGCCTCCAGGCTCGACAAACCCCGACATATCCCGACAGACCCCGACAAACCCTGACGTGTCGAGATATGTCGTATCATGTCGGGCCCACCGGCTACATGAGGCCTTCTTGTGTAGTGTTTTTCTACATAAAGCTTGATGAATCCGTCTCGGCTTTTTGTTGAGAGACTCCCCGACACACCCGACAAAACCCTGACAAACCCCGACAAACCCCGACAAACCCCGACGTGTCGAGATATGTCGTATCATGTCGGGCCCACCGGCTACATGAGGCCTAAAGTATTGTACCGTAAAGTATGGTACCGTAAAGTATGGTACCGTAAAGTATGGTACCGTAAAGTATGGTACCGTAAAGTATGGTACCGTAAAGTATGGTACCGTAAAGTATGGTACCGTAAAGTAAGGTACCGTAAAGTATGATACTGTCAAGCATGGTTCCGTGCTGTACGTGACGTGGACTCCACCAAACTATACAGTATACACAGACAAATCCATTAAACTCTACGCCATCTCGCTGCTTTAAATACGACATTTTAAACTCCCGGGTAAGTAACCTAATCGCACTTATCTCAACCTCCTAACAAATTAGATAGACACGTTAAAAGTAGTGGCCGTATAATAAGGAATGCAGGATTGCACGGCAGAAAGAATGTGGTGTATCAATATTTTATGAGAGATGATGAGATCTTAGACTGGAGCTCTATTCGATCATATAAATCGAAACTATCACGCAATTTAGGTAATCGAAAGAAAGAAGGACTTGTAAGCGAACGTGTATAGGAGAACTGAGTAGGTTGCTTTAGTAGTTTTCTGCTACTAGAATAGGTTGCTTAGCAAGGAAATAAAAATGGGAACAAAGCAACAAGTACACATAATTTGCAACTCAGCCTTAACAACTGGTATAGTAAGAATGTTGGCATTTTATACGCTGAAAAGCTTAATATAACGTACATGGTGATAGGTTTACGGCTCTGGACAATGTTTTCTGTCCAGAGCTCTTCAGATTATGATCATGGTGGAGGTGAACAGCACGGGGATTATATTTTAGGGCACTTTGCCTTTGGTGGTAAATCTTAAACATACACACAGAGCTTCAGTTATCTTGCTGTACGGCGTATGTTTGGGCAAGCAAACTGTAAATGTGTGTACATTGTGCAAGCTAGTGAAGGTGTGTGTGTGTAACGGTAACGAGGTAATAGCAACCAGGTAACAGTACCCAAGTAAAAGTAACCAGGTAACAGTAACCAAGTAAAAGTAACCAGGTAACAGTAACCAAGTAACAGTAACCAAGTAACCTGGTAACTGATTCTGCAACACATTACAATTTAGCAGACGACGGAAACAGACCGGTCTGAGAAGGACTCACGACACAGGAAGTAAGAATAACGGGATTGTGGAACAGTACGGGAGTAACAGTGGTAATATGTCGCAATTACTAGCAGGCATGTGTCGGATTATTTGCAGGTATGTGTCACGTACAGTGCACAATGTGCAGCACATTCCAACGCTCCGACTACACAAGGATGTGATGACACGGAGGAGTCATTTTGCTCTGTAATTAACTAGAAATGTCTGGGACGTATGTGAAATAATATGATAGCACACTTAGTAATCACGGGGGAATTTTCAAAGCAGAAAGAGGAGGAATGTAAAATATATCCACCTTCTCGTTTTACAACACTGGAATTTTATAACCAGTGTCAGTTCACTTAATTGGTAAATGGAACTGCAATCCTCAAAAATACTTCTCTCAAAAGACAATTTGTACTATATATTAGTCGGCAAATAAAATGTAGCAGAAACCAGAATCTGGTTTTTGTAAGTCTGGGTCACATACAATTAGACCTCTGTCACATACAATTAAATTAGGAGTCTGAACGTGAACGGTTGCAGACTTTACGATGCATCAATTACTAAACAATTTAGCAGTCACACAGTCAACACAGTCAACACAGTCAACACACAACTGTACGGTTACTGATAAACGGAGTAGGGATTGTCCTCAAATATGGTCGTGAATTTTAAAATTATTATAAAAAATAAGCGCAAGTGTCAAAAATATCAACTAAGCAGACAATGATTTTAAAACTGTTGAAATTGTTGCCATTTCAAAATTCCCAAAATTGAACATTTTAAAGATGACAGTAGTATTTATATTAATCTGAAAATTAATCTGAAAATTTCATCTGAAATGATTTCGAAATTTGTCAAAAATGCAAAAAAACAAAAACGTTGAAAATGCGCAAAGTTTCTCGAAGGAATTTTGATTGTGGACAATCCCCTCCAATTTTCATCACCTATAAATAAAAGAAAGAGGCAGAAGAGATGAAATAAAAACCTGTGTTTGGGAAAGGTTATTCAGTTCTGTATCGTAGTAGCGAAGAAACTGGTCAACATTGTTGTATCTGATGTAGTAAGCGAGAGTGGCAACGTGCTTGTCTAGCCGGGGTAACATACACCAGGTGACGTGACACAGCTAAACACACTCGTTACTATAGCAACATGATGTGCAGCAATATGGCAATAATATAAAATAGTATAGCAACATGATGCGCAGCACGTGCAACACGATGTGCAGCACGTGCAACATGATGCGCAGCACGTGCAACACAATGCGCAGCACGTGCACTCAGACTTTCGGCAAACACCAGCTTTGATATTACTAGCTCAACCCTTACCCTTTACCCTGACCTTAACTCCTTAACTGCCAGTCTGACCCAGCCCTGGCCCTTGAGTAGCTAGCAGAATATTTCGCTAAGTTTTACACGCTTTGATTTCACAGATATATATCAATGATATGTACCCAGACCCTCTACCAGAAATTTAAACAGGGAATACAATAAACTATATAATAGTATTTATAATATAAATTATACATACATTGTTTGCACATTAAAACTGACAAAATTGGTGCAAAATTTCACAAAATAGTAAAATAGTGAGGATCTACATTTTGTGAATAAATAAACCACTTTAAAAACATGAGTAAACATAATAATGAAGTTAATTTTTGTGGTTTCTGTAGACTTTTGAGACAGTAAAAAGCTGGACAAAATTCAAAATATTGGAATTCAAATTAGATAAAACAAACCGATTTAAACATACCAAGCAACACTTACTGAAAACAGTGATTTGAATAATTTCCATTTTATAATTTAATAGTTAATCTGAAACTATTATTATCTGCGGCTGGATAGAATCACTTTTATACGTTAAAAAACGAACAAATAAGAATAAATAGATTTAAAACTTATTAAGACATTAATCATGTGAGCTGAGTAATTAATGGCTCTCAAATCTCAAATATGTGATCTACGCTACCTGTGGAGTTATAATCAATAATTTAATCTATCAAAAACTACAAAACAGTTAAACGAAATATCGGATAAGTCATTCAAGGTGAAGTATCAGGAGAAAATCGCAAAGAAAAGTCTCAAAATATTATTGACATGATTAATTGAACAATTAAGTATCAAGTGTGATTAACCCTCTACCAAACATATTACATAACATACTTATCACCCATTTTAGTTTGAAAATTTATTTTGTGGTTCATCTTTTGTAGAATTCCTTTTTCAATATTCATTTTACAACTTGTGCGATATCCCAATACATTCTTTACAAACCAACTCCGGTTCAATAAACATTAAAAAGATTACAAAACGCAATGGACACGAATATTATCCTCATCAAACATATATCATTTCATATTCCTATCAGCAACTCTTTGTCATAAACTGATTAAGTTTCAATAAATTAATATAAATAATTATTATACAGGAGTGAATACTGAATACTGCAGTTGACATAACTTCCTTTCGGCATTTTTTCGAACTTTCGCAGAAAAGATTAAAATTATTTTAAATGGACTACGCAAAGATTTTAAACAACAACGGTCAATTGAGACAAATCACATGTAAGAAAATGATTTTGACAAGCTTATTTTGCATTTTAATAGATTTAAACAAATAATTGAACACTATTACTAACATAAAAATGTTTTTCAAACTTCCGTTTCATTGGCCCTGGTCATTCTTTTGTGTTCGATGTATTTTCTTTTCATCTTCTTTGTTTTCTTAAATACCTTTCTCATATATTCAAAGTTGTCCCAAGCTTTACCATCCCAGAAGAGATCTCTGAAGAACATGGCCAATCCAGATGGATCATTCAACTTCTTAAGCTCTCTTTTGTGTAAAATAAACTGATACACCGCAACACGGAACAGTATTTTGTTTCCTTCATAGAACAAAGTGTCCCAGACATGCAGTAAAGTGTGAAATGGCAGAACATCAACAAAAAGGCAAACAAACCATTTGGTAACAAACATTTGCAGGGGAAGCCCAAACAGGGTCACATTTGCATGGGTCTGAGGAACAGTTTTCCTAACCAAGTCATTGAGAACTAAACAATCATTATTTAAACAAGTCATTTTGTTGGAGTGATAGTCTGGGAGGATTTCAACAAGAGCAACTAAGAGCCAAAAACATTCCTCAGGGACCAGTTCTCCGTCTTTGCGTTGGGTTGCGACAAGCAAAGCACCTACAATGAAATTGAGACCCTGGCAGTAACCTATATCTGGTCTATGAAGGCAGAAGGCTGCCAAAATGTCCTGCATATTGTTCAACATAACTGGTTCTTTGAAGGATGGATTCTCAGGAAAAGTTCTAGACAGGTCCCGTTTTATGATATCAAGGACACACTCTCCACTTGTATCTTTAATATCACTGTTTGTGTTCTTATCTGAAGACCTGGTGGCTAATTCGTTGAACAGCCCCTTGTTTTCCATCATGTTCTTACCTGCTGAAGATATTGATAGCCATACATCAACTCTGTACTGGCGTGGGATCCCTTTTCTGACCAGTTTTTTTAGAGTTTCACTTCTCTTATAGACACCGTTTAAGGCATCCCACTCAGCAACAAGCTGTAGGTCTGTAAGTTTCCTCTTATGTGTATACCGCCAGTGTTGATCTTTATCAAAATTAGGAGGCCAGTCGAATCCATATTCATCTTTCTCTTCTTTCATAATCTGAAAACATTCTTCTATTATTTATCAAGAAATAATTAAAGGCTAGTACACTATAGTCTATACAGCATTATTTTAACGACTATGTAGTGCAATTTGAAACGTACTTTATGATGTCAATAATAACAACACAAATGCATTAGTTTAACCACTTCAATAAATAACCCAGACTAGTACAAAAAGTGAGGGATTAGATTATTTCCATGTCCAATGTCCAATGTCCATTGTCCATTGGTCTTCCCACAACAAGAGGGATATTGAAAAAAGTGGGTTCCTCAAGAAACTGAGCTTAAAAAACAAGCAGACATTCGAATGCCAGTGTTTCCTAGTCTAGGGAGATAGCTCCGGATCTGTTGGATCTATGCAAAATAACACATCTGTGAAATGTCTTCTCAGTAGGCTAAGCCAAATGATTAGAAAACTGTGATGGAGGCTTTGAATATGTCCCCCTTCAGTATAAATATTTACATTGTGGTGTACTGTTAACATAGTACTATACTATACTCAGATACCATCAGCTTTGTTGATTGTTTGTAGAAGACTAATAAGGGTAGAACTCCTATGAACTCCTATGAACTACTATCATACCTAGGAAGGAATTTAATTCAGCTTACAGATCAGACGAAAGTCCTAGGTGTCACAGGAAGTTTGAAATTTTCATTGATAAATATTTTGATATTTGGGCTAAATTTGGAGAATATTTAACAGCAGATCAAGTTTTTTAGTCTGTTGCATGTGACCTCTGATTGGGCTTTTTAGATATCTTTTGCTTTTTACCTAACATTTGAATTTTGTAGTGACATGATGGCCATGGATTACTGAGGGGCACTGTGTTAACGTGATTTAAGTGGGTCCCAATCCCCACCGACCATTCTTCTTTGTATCATGCCTATGTTCCTGAATACTTGCTTCATCATGATCTCCTTTTTATAACAACCACGGTGTCTTTATTGACTAAGCGCATTACACAGTAGGCTAACCTTCAAACAGCTCATCATCATATTCACATTAATGGGGGGGTGCCACTGTCCATTTTGTCCCTTTTGTCCCTCTGGCCTCTTGTCCCTTTTGTCCCTTTTGTCTTTGTCTTTTTTCAGTTTTTTTGTGCAGGGATAAAATGGACAGTGATACCCCCCCCCCCCCCCCCCCCCATTAATTGATTGGGTGCAGCTGTCGTATCTGATCAATAAGCATTTTCACAATAACCTACTATACCGCTGGGTTTGCATGAGTCGTCATGCAAACATAAACTAGAACATGAACCAAGCAACTATAGTCAAAGTGGCCAAAACCATTCTTTTCCAGACACTGTTTTATGGTTATATATAAAATGTTTCAAACAGTATACACATTATTTTTTTGCTATATTTAGTCTTTTAGAATTCAAGATTGAGCAAATCCAAGAGGCCAATCCAACTGCTCAAGTATTTCTTTGTCCACTTTTACCAACTCGAAATACTGACTTAAATAGGAAAGTTCTATACTTTATAGAGCTTATTCGACGTGAGCTACTTCCCAAAAACTTTGGTGTCCAGTTCGTTGATGGCTTTGATGACTTCCTGGATAATAACACTGGCTTACTTTGCCCAACCTTGTCCAGGGAGTTTGACAAATATGGCCGGACGGATTACCTGCACCTTAATTGGAAGGGAGTGGCCAAACTTGCTACTTTAATCCGTAATACTGTCCTTGTTAGGATGCATGGAGGGACTGATAGGAGGAAGAGGGGGAGGAGGGACGGTAAGGTTGGTTCAACACTTTATTCTCATGCCGCCGGAGGACAGCCTCATGTTGAAGGCTATCAGCCTCCAGTATGAATGTTCTTAAAAAAGAGGTCTGTGCCCACTGTTTAAAAAGTATCTATCTAGGTCAATCTATATTTGAATGCTACAACTGTAACTGTCCCATTCACTCTAGATGCTATAACACCAGTGACAAACAAAATCAAAAAGTTGACTTGTACTGCAATAATTGTCTCCACCTAGCAGTAATCCGTTATAACCCATTCAAGCTTCTGAATGATGACAATGATGATAACACTGATGCAGATGATGTTACACGTAAAATCTCTGAGGTACTTGAAAGCTGTGACTCATATTCTGTAAAAGGCATAAACCACACCTTTGCTCACGAATTACAAGTGCAAAACTCACTAATATTTCAAAATCTTGATGGCAACAAATCAAACTTTGACTCGCTGGCAATTGAAATAGCTAGATTTACTAACAAATTCTCTGTAATTGGTCTTGCTGAAACAAATGTTGGCCCTGAATTGAAAAACTTGTACGAACTCACAGGCTATGAGAGCTTCTATCAAGATACCTTTGACTCGAAAGTAAAAGGCTCAGGAGTAGCTCTATATGTCCTTAACTCCTTTAATGCTGTTAAAAATAACAACCTGTCACAAGTAACAGAAAATCTAGAAACCCTCTTTGTAACCATAGGAAGTATCGGAAATTATACTTCTATAGGAGTAATATACCGCCCTCCAAGTGGCAATGCTGAGCAAGCTCTCCAAGAATTGTCGTCAATCCTTGATAAAGCACCAAAACATACACACATTGCAGGTGATTTTAACATTAATCTCCATGGTAAACACAGTAACATTATTGCACAGTATGAAGACGTCCTATTCAGTAGAGGCTTCTTCCCATTGATATCATTAGCAACTCATGAAAAGCCTGGATGTAATGCCTCATGCATCGACAACATCATTACAAATGACCTAGACTCTGTTACTGCCTCTGGAGTCATAACTGATCACATATCTCACCACCTCCCTATATTTAATATATCTGACTGGAAAATTAGCAAGACCAAAAATATTCATAAGCACACTCAATATTATGACTATTGTAAGTCAAACACTGATAAATTTGCTGAAGTCTTGGGTAATAAACTAGATAATGAACCAATTATAGATTTTACCAACTTTCATGATATCTTTAAAAACAGCATTGACGAAACCTGCAAACTAGCTGTACCCAAAACCACTAAGCGCACTATGCAGAACAACCCCTGGATTACTGGCGGGATTATAGCCTCAGTAAACCACTGCCATGGACTGTATGATGCCTGGGCGAAAGTCAGGAAAGTTAAGTGTAAACAAGGCGAAACTGACACAAAAGGGGGCACATGCCTGTGTTCTATCTGCTGTAATAAAAGAAACCGTTATGATGACTACAAAGAATATAGAAAGACTCTAAAAAAGGTTCGTAAAAAGGCTGTATCTGAATATTATTCTGACAAGTTTCTTGAAACTCAGGGAAACTCCAAGAAAACCTGGGAACTTATAAATAAAATTCGTGGCAAACAGAAACGTGATATCAGACCTATATTTACCATAGACAATGAAAAGATAACTAATCGCAGAGTTATAGCGAATGAATTCAATAAGTATTTTGTATCCCTAGCATCTAACCTTAATGCAGCCTACACAGAACTAGGAGAAATACAAATTAATCAGCTTCCAAGTTTCTGTGACCTCTTACCTAAATCAAATACAGCTAATATATATCTACATGACTGCTCACCTGAAGAGGTGGCTAAGATCATATCGGAACTTAAGAATGGCAAGGCTAGTGATATACCAGTGCATATAGTAAAGGCAGTATCAGGCAAAATTAGTCCACTACTATCGGTATTGTATAACGAATGTATGCAACAGGGAGTTTTTCCAGACGACCTAAAAGTAGGTAAAATAAGTCCAATATATAAAAAAGAAAATGCTGAGCTTCTTGAAAATTACAGGCCTATCTCAACCTTAGCGATATTTGGTAAAATACTTGAAAAAATTATATTCTCCAGGCTTTACAGTTTCTTTCAGTCGCAAGGATTATTATATGAAAATCAATATGGCTTCAGAAAAAATCATTCGACAAGCCATGCACTTAACTTCTCTGTCGACTACATTGAAAAATCACTAAGAGATAAAAATCTTCATTGATTTAAGTAAAGCTTTTGATACAATCTGTCATGATAAACTGCTTAAAAAACTGAATGATTATGGAATTCGAGGGACTGCAAATAAATTAATAGCCAGTTACCTCTCTAATAGACAGCAATATGTTTCAGTACTTGGAGAAGAATCCGAAAAACTGTCTGTAATATTTGGTGTGCCTCAGGGGTCAGTATTAGGTCCCTTGCTTTTCATTATCTACATCAATGAAATATATAGAGTATCAGACCTAGAGCTAGGTAAGTTTATACTTTTTGCCGATGACACCAACATATTTGTTGTAGATAAATGTATAAAAACACTTTACTGCAAAGCTAACAAAATTCTTAAACTTGTTCATCAATATATGAAGAGTAACTTGCTGCATATCAACACAAAGAAATGTTGTTATATCCACTTTAAGCCGAACTGTAGAAATGAACCAGATTCAAACACCAATGAATTAGAACTGACACTGAATAATATAATAATTAAAAAGGTAGAGGAAACTAAGTTTCTTGGAGTCATTATTGACCAAAAACTGAACTGGGATGCTCACTTGAAAGCGTTAAATCGTAAATTGAAATGTGAGATTGGTAGACTATGTGGAATCAGACGCTGTGTACCTAAAACACTCTATAAGGACCTGTACCACACCCTTTTTGAATCACACCTATGTTATGGAATATCTGTTTGGGGAGGTGTATCAAATAATAAACTAGAAGCCATATTTAAAACACAAAAGAAATGCATAAGAATTCTCTTTGGTGATAATGATGCGTACTTCAATAAGTTCAAAACATGTGCCAGAGCAAGGCCTATCACTAGGGATAAGACCGGTAAAGTTATCAAGCAGATGTTAGGCAAAGATTTCTTTGAACTAGAACACAGTAAACCAATCTGTAACGAGTATAACTTCCTGACTGTCCACAATCTTCATAAGTTGCACTGTTTACTGGAAATGTTTAAAATTAATAAGTTCCAATCACCAGTCTCAATGTTCTCTTTATTCAACAGGTCACCAAGACGAGACAACTACTTCATCCCACCCACTCCGTCCTCACTATTCAT